CAAAGATAGCAAACAGTGCTTTAACTCACTAGTCAGGGAACAAAAAAGCGTACCTTAGACCCACGAGGGTGCTTTACTTTTATAGTCAGCATTGACCTGATCCCTGTAGAAGCCTAGCTTCTCTTGGACACTCCAATAGATAAAGATAAACTTCCTAAGAGCTTTATCCTTATCGAGGCTGAAGTCCTCCCTCATTCTAGGACTCTTATAACTTATCCGTTCATCTCGGATTCCGGTATCTTCGCAGATAACTTCGGCCTAGTCAAAATCACCTCGGCGTCATGACCAGGATACGTGGCACCTCGGCTGACACTTCGGTGTCACCTTGGCCACATATTGTCATTCACAAAATACGCCCCTACAAGTTTTATTATACAAAACTTGAGTTTTAACTACACATTATTTTCTTAGATATATTTTTGTGTATGAATTTTAGGTACATATATTTATTGTATATGAGTTGGTTCATTTTTTTTCTCCTTGTTATTTTCATTTATTTAGGGTGTAATATTACTCCACCTAACGACCTCTCTCCCTCTCACTCTCACTCTCGAGTTTGATGTATGTGACGTTCACGTCCTGGCCAACATGGTCCGAGCAACGTTGGACTCACAAATATAATTTTTTTTAAGTGAAAAATATCATATGAATAAAAAAAATTAGAAATAAATAAAATTATAATTAATGGAGTGCTAAGTAGGTATAAATGATTTACAAAGTTTCTTACTTAGGAGTACTTTGGAAAGAAATTAAAAAAGTTAATTGTTTTGACTTTTTAGCTTTTTTACATAAAAAGTCATAAAAAAGTTCACTTTTTTAACACAAAAAAGTCAAGAATAATGTTTCGTAGTTCGAAACTTTTCCCTCCTGAATCCTCTTAATGCCCAAAACGACGTCGTTTTGGGCATTTTTCTTTCCTTTTTTTTTCCTTCTTTTTCCAGTTTGAAACGCAAAGAGGATGAGGGAGAGGGAGAGGGAGAGGGAGAGAAGAGAGAAAGAGATGAGTGGGGAAGAGGAGGAGAGAGGGAGAAAGAGAGAGGAGGAGAGGAGAGAAGGGCCCCTCCTGTGCCTCCGCCGTCGCCGATCGTCGCAGCAGCTCCGATCGTCGCAGCAGCAGCTCGTCGCAGCCCCGCCGCAGCTCGTCGTAGCCCCACCTCCGACCGCCGTTGCCTCTGGCCCCGCCTCCGCCTCTAGCCCGATTGGCCCCCTCCAGTCCTTCTTCTTCTTCCTTCTCTTCTTCCTTCTTCTTCCTTCTTTCTTCTTCTTCTCTTTTTGGTTGATTCGGGGGATTCGGGGGCTCCAAATTCGAGCCCCCTAGCACGACTGAAAAGTCAAAAAGTTACAAAAATAAAAAAATAAAAAAATTAACTTTTTACCAACTTCTCAAAATATCACTTGCTGTATATGTCTCACTTGTATTTTATTAATTTTTTTATTCAAGATATTTCTCATTAGAAAATAAAAGTCTGTGAAAATTGTAAGTAAAAATAACAGTGAGTTTAAACTCTTTAATGGCCATTTAAAAAAGCAATAATGATTCATACCATTAAAAAAAGATCACTAATAGTACTAATGCATTAGAAATGTCAAAAAAAAAAAAAAGCATAGGCAATAGACGAGATCTACTACCACATCATTAATGGTACTATTAGAACACTATTTTTAATGCTCTTAATCATTTTTCTTAAAAAAGTTCACCACTTTGACAGGATAACCAAAAGCCCCAATTGAATTAGTTAGCGTATGGAAACGGATGTCATAGTGGCCCTTCAAAATGACATGCATGAAACATTATTGTAGTTTTGTAACTGATTAGAGTGGATATATATATATATATATTTTTTTTTTTTCAAAACAAATTAGATCATCTAATTCTTTTTGTTAATCTATATAATTGTAATATGAAATAGTGAGAAAGTTAGAGATTCAAGATTTAAATCAATAAAATGTATCATTGATTTTGTTGTAATCCAACTTACTTATTACAATAAATTAACACTATTTTGTAACTAAAAATCACGACATGACCTTACAAAATAAATGGCATAACCTCAAATTCTCTTGAAATAAGCCTAGGATTATAATCAATTTTAATTTTAATTTTCATATTCATACATATTAATTGACTTTTCACCCTGAAGTTTGAAGAAAAAAATTAAAAATTCAGAGTTTCAATAAACTTTGGAAATTTCATAGAAAACATTAGGAACATTCAATTGGACAAAATGGTTGTTTGTCCATTGGAATAAAGCCAATCTCATTTGGCAAAGTGTGCCCAAACAAGGCCGTTAAAATATTTTTTCCAATAGATAATATGGTTAAATTACACCAACCTCCATCAAGTTTTTCAAAATTAGAATAAATTCATAATTTTAATATAATTATATCAGTTTTTCTTAAATTTTAAATTACAAATATTTTACACTACTTCACGAGAACACTGTCAAATTTTTAAAAATAGACTATTTTATTTTATTTTAATATAACTCTATTTTCATCTTATACTAATTGTTTTTAACAAATATTTTTAACACACTCGTCCCATCTCCACAAGCCTACTATCACGGCCCAAAACATCCACCGGCATAAGTTCAACTACCACACCCCGATTATCCATTGCCGGCTCCACTATATCTATTTTCATTGCTAGCCCTTCTAAATTACCAAACAACTTAAAAGGTCTTCTATTTTCTTCATCACCCTTTCACTGCACTAGAGATGGCAATCGGAACCCGGCCCGACGGGGACCCGACCCCCCGGCCCCGAATTAAGTGGTGATTCCCCGAAAAATACCCCCGACGGGCCGGGACGGTATTAAAAAATGTATCCCCGGTGATCTTCAGGCCGGGAATGGGGATACGTGTTTCAGTCCCGGACCCGGCCCGACCCCGACCTCGATCCCCGCCCCGAATAATCCCCGATGTAAAATTACTAATTTGCCCTTCCGTATATATATGCGCGTGTAGGGTTTTGTGTTGAAACACTGCTCAGTTCTCTCACACACAACACAAAACAAAACACGCTTCTCTCTCTCTCTCTCTCTACGCCGTTGCCAAGAGCTAGGGTTTCGTCGCTGCTCGTACCGCCGATCGTCACCGCCACCGCCACCGCCACCGCCGATCGTCCATCGCCGTACATAGCTCAGTTCTCGTCCGTAACCGTCGATCGTCCATCGCCGCTGCTCGTACCTCGCCGCCGATCATCCTCCCTCATTGCCGTTCTCTCTGTCACACAACGAACGACGTTCCTGCTCCTCCGTCACCACCAATTTGAAGCCACCACCACCACCACCGATCTGCAGCCACGACTATGACCAGGACAAATCATGATGAAGCCCCCTCTCTCTCTCTATATATATATACATATCTGTTGTTCATTGATGCACAAATATTTTTTTTCCAAGTTATTTATATTATATCTGTTGATGAACAATATATCTGTTGTGTGTGTGTGTGTAACACAGCGTGTTGAACAGATCTGTAATGTATACATACAGATTTTTTTTTTTTGTTCTTGTGTTTGTAATATGTGTTGTTAAAAAAAATTTTGTTTGTTGATCTGTTGTTGAAAAAATCTCTCTCTCTCTCTCTGTTTGTTGATGAACATGTTGATCAATTGATCGGGGAATTTCGGGGTCGGGGAAACCCGATCCCTGTTAGGGGACGGGGACGGGGGTGGTTATGGGTTCCCCGTCGGGGATCGGGGCCGGGGACGGGGGTATTTCCACCATCGGGGATCGGGGACGGGGAGTGTGATCCCCGGCCCCGCCCCGCCCCGTTGCCATTCCTACACTGCACATTATATTTTCACCACTATTGCCAAACTCTACCCAAATCACTCCAAACTCGAACACAACCAAATCAACCCTTACCAAAACACCAAATCAATACCTAAATCACTCCTAACACCATTTTATAGCCTCTACTACTATCACATCTTTATTTTTCTTACCTTCAATGAATCGACATACATATTTGCAATACATTAAGGCCATCACATGGTTATAATTAGTTTTTTTGGCTCTCAATGAAGATGTTGGGTAGAAGAGGCAATGAAAAAAAAAGAGCAATGGCGACTCTAACAATTTGGTGAGAGGGAAGTAGGGTGGCAAGTTAGGCTTATGTACAAAAGGATAAAAAAAAAATTAAACAAAGTTGAAAATGAATAAAAAGATAATTTTACATTGTTATAATTAACTTTGTTATTAGTGGGGAGATTGATATCCAGGTTGTGCAAAATATCGCATAATCCGTTAAAACTGAACCAATTTGCATTGTTCTATATGTTAATCATCGATTAAACTTTAAAATTTATAATCCACCTTTGAAACCGCTCTACTCCGCTATAGTTAATATATATATATATATATTTATATATATATATATTAATCTCTAGTAAAATATCAAAATAAAAATGGGTGTGAGAGATATTTAAGATGTGAAATCTATTACAAATTAGTAGTTATATATATGAAAAATATTATACAAATTAGTATTATATATCATACAAATGCTTGATAATTGATTAAAATATTTTTCAATATGCCAATCCCACCAAAATCGTTCAAATCAAAATTTAACAATCCACTAAGCGACTAATCTGTCATTCTATTTATAATGTTATACTCAAACCGTTCGAATCACACCGTACATACCCCTAATTAATATAATTATGTCAAGATTACAGAATTAATAATAGTTTTTCTAAAACTCAAATAAAGGATATTGTAATTTCACGAAAAATAAAAAAAGAAATTATAATTAAGTGATATTTAAAAAATAATAATTATAGATTCATATAAATTTATAAGATTTAAATTATTGTAAAGTTTAACCTCAATAATTTAACAAAAATAAATATATATAATGAAAAAAGAAGAAAAATCCAAAAAAAAAAAAAAAACCAACCAACTAAACTAAAGACTTAATCTTTTTCTCTCTCTCTCTCTCTCTCTCTCTCTCTCTCTCATCCTTACCCACGTCTCTCTCTCTCTCTCTCTCTCTCTCTCTCTCATCATTCATCATCCCATCCCCTCGCTTTCTCGCTCTAAAACTATCTTTCCTCTGTCTCTCTCATTCCTGTATATCCTCTCCCAATTCCAAATTTTCTCTTCAATTCTTAAAACTATCAACAGTTAGACAGATAGAAGCAATTATTTTCACTTTTCTTTCTGAATTATTATACTACCTGTGTGTGTGTGTGTGTGTATTGCCAGCTCTATGTGATATACTCTCCTCTCTCTCTCTCTCTCTCTCTCTCTCTCTCTCTCATCATCATCTTCAGGAAAAAGAAAAAACAGAGATCTCAGAAGGTACCTCGATCCTCTGATCACTGCTTCATCAGAATTCATTTAGATCTCATGTTTTTTGAAATGGGTTAGCTTATCTGTTTCCAATTTGACTGTAATTTGAGATGTGCTATGTTGATCTGAGCTTAGACGGTTTATTTTTAATTGTGTAGGCTTTAGTTGTGATTATTAGTTTGTTTATCAATCTAATTTGAGGAATGATGTGTTATTAATTTTAATTGTTCGTGATTAATGCTTTTTGATTGATTGATTGATTGATTGATTGATCTCTGATTTTCTATATGTGTTGAATTGTTATGTGGAATGAAAGTGATTTGATTTTGATCTGTAATTGAATATGAGTGAGTGATCTTCACATTGACCTATGTTGTTTTTTTTAACGAATTAGTGGGACTCACACATGTATCATTATGGGTTTATGAAAGTCTTGAGGTTTTTGATGTTATGATGATGCTTGCGATCAGCAGTCTTGATTGTTTTTGTTCTATGATTTGTCGCTGTTGAATGTGGGTTGGAACGTTGATTCAGTTGGCAGTCTTCTTCAACCATGTCATTGAGGTGGATTACTGCATAATCATAATCAAATTTTTCGGTATGTTTTGGAGGTATTGGAATGGTGAGAGGGCTGCATAGACTGCATTTTGTTTGGCATGATTGGCTTTAAATGCATCTGCCCCACTATGCTTGGCGTTTTATTCTACTCTTTTTGAAGAACGACGAGGATACTAATGGTAAACAATGTGAGTAGTGTATCATACAGCAGGTAACAGGCGTGGTAGTGGAGCAAATGTTGATTAGATAACTTTTAGAGGTCAGTAATTATGGTACTTAAATTATTTGCAGCGGATATCCAAATGAATCATTGGTACGGATTTGCAGAATGTGAAATAATGTAGCTTTGGATTAATGATGAAATGAAACTGTAATGGCATTGGCATCATACTATTCCCAGAGATAACTTTATGGGTCTACTTCAAGATGTAATGAATAATAGAAAGATTTACAAGTTTTGGGTTGAGATGTTTGGGACTCTGCAATTTAAGGATTGTAATTGTAAGATGGAAGTCAGTGCTGCTGACTACTGTTTTTTTATATTAGATCTTTGAGGATTTCAAGCTATTTACGAAAGTGTTAGATATGTGAGTAATGATGCTATCTCATTACCGACAATCTGATGTATGACCAGAGGATGGATCATTGAGATGATAAAAGGAAGTGAAGGCAAAACTTGTATGGGAAGAACCAAAGACATCAAGGAAGTAAAAGAGGAAGATCCTTCAATAAATTCTTAAATTTACTGAGACTTTATTGCTTCTTCGAAGAAGAGAAATGCGAGCTTGAATAATACATGGCCATTTGATGTTAACTTCTTGGTCGAAAGATCTTCTTTGATGAGATGAGTGGTGCACACTTTGCACCGCCGGAGCTTTCCTTTTCTGTTACAGGTTGCTGGAGCCATCTATTCTGCCGGTGTTTTACTGCTGATCACTAAACGGGCAGTGTGGTCAGATTTTTACCCACACAATTATACTACCTCTCTCTCTCTCTCTGTGTGTGTGTGTGTGTGTGTGTGTATTGCCAGCTCTATGTGATATACTCTCCTCTCTCTCTCTCTCTCTCTCATCGTCATCTTCAGGAAAAAGAAAAAACAGAGATCTCAGAAGGTACCTCGATCCTCTGATCACTGCTTCATCAGAATTCATTTAGATCTCTTGTTTTTTTAAATGGGTTAGCTTATCTGTTTCCAATTTGACTGTAATTTGAGATGTGCTATGTTGATCTGAGCTTAGACGGTTTATTTTTAATTGGGTAGGCTTTAGTTGTGATTATTAGTTTGTTTATCAATCTAATTTGAGGAATGATGTGTTATTAATTTTAATTGTTCGTCATTAATGCTTTTTGATTGATTGATCTCTGATTTTCTATATGTGTTGAATTGTTATGTGGAATGAAAGTGATTTGATTTTGATCTGTAATTGAATATGAGTGAGTGATCTTCACATTGACCTATGTTTGTTGTTTTTTTTACACTATGTTTGGATTGAGTGATTTGGAGAGAAAAGAAATGAAATGAAATGATATGTATTTCTCTTATTTGTTTGGATAACCTAAGTAGAGAGAAATGAGAAGAAATAGAGAGAAATAGAGAGAAACTCATTTATCTTATAAGCCTCATTTTCAATCTTCCCAAAAGTGAAGAGATTGGGAGAGAAAAGAAAGCACTATTTTCATAATACCAATTTTATCCCTATAAAAATAAAAGAAATAAAATGATTGAAAATATAAAAATGTTATTTTGATAATATAACATAATAATTTCTTTTTTTTTTCTCTTAATGAAACCTAACCAAAAAAGAATGAAAGAAATCGCAATCATTTCTTTTATTTTATTTTTTCCTTATTCAAACAAAAAGGAGAGAAATCACAATCATTTTTTTTCTTTTATTTTCTCTTATTACTTAAGTAATCTTTTCTTTTCTTGTCTCTCCTAAGTTTCCAAACATAGTGTTAACGAATAAGTGGGACTCACACATGTATCATTAAGGGTTTATGAAAGTCTTGAGGTTTTTGATGTTATGATGATGCTTGCGATCAGCAGTCTTGATTGTTTTTGTTCTATGATTTGGCGCTGTTGAATGTGGGTTGGAACGTTGATTCAGTTGGCAGTCTTCTTCAACCATGTCATTGAGGTGGATTACTGCATAATCATAATCAAATTTTTCGGTATGTTTTGGAGGTATTGGAATGGTGAGAGGGCTGCATTGACTGCATTTTGTTTGGCATGATTGGCTTTAAATGCATCTGCCCCACTATGCTTGGTGTTTTATTCTACTCTTTTTGAAGAAAGACGAGGATACTAATGGTAAACAATGTGAGTAGTGTATCATACAGCAGGTAACAGGCGTGGTAGTGGAGCAAATGTTGATTAGATAACTTTTAGAGGTCAGTAATTATGGTTACTTAAATTATTTGCAGCGGATATCCAAATGAATCATTGGTACGGATTTGCTGAATGTGAAATAATGTAGCTTTGGATTAATGTTGAAATGAAACTGTAATGGCATTGGCATCATACTATTCCCAGAGATAACTTTATGGGTCTACTTCAAGATGTAATGAATAATAGAAAGATTTACAAGTTTTGGGTTGAGATGTCTGGGACTGTGCAATTTAAGGATTGTAATTGTAAGATGGAAGTCAGTGCTGCTGACTACTGTTTTTTTATATTAGATCTTTGAGGATTTCAAGCTATTTACGAAAGTGTTAGATATGTGAGTAATGATGCTATCTCATTACCGACAATCTGATGTATGACCTGAGGATGGATCATTGAGATGATAAAAGGAAGTGAAGGCAAAACTTGTATGGGAAGAACCAAAGACATCAAGGAAGGAAAAGAGGAAGATCCTTCAATAAATTCTAAAATTTACTGGGACTTTATTGCTTCTTCGAAGAAGAGAAATGCGAGCTTGAATAATACATGGCCATTTGATGTCAACTTCTTGGTCGAAAGATCTTCTTTGATGAGATGAGTGGTGCACACTTTGGGCCAATATGGTCCTGATTAGGTCTGTACCTGATTCACCACTTCCAAAACCCAGGACTGGTGGGACGGGCGTTAGGTTATGACGCTCTGTTCCTTTTTCCTCTATGTTTCTTCATTGACAAAAAAGGAAAAAAGAAAAGAAAAATTTGAAGTCTAGGAAAATTACAGGATCCCATATGACTGCCACTTATGATAGATGAGAAGTGAGGCAGCCCAAGTACAAGGTCTGGTGACATGCATGCACATGGATGAATTGTTCATTAGTGTCGGGTAATTAGCCCCGCATGCATGCTTCTATCATGAATGATGGGTTTACAAATTTGTCTAATGTTTCTGAGGTGAGGTTAGTGATTTTTTTGGAAATATTATCAAGAGGTTGTGTAATTAGTCAAATTTTGTTGCATATGGTTGAAGTTTTTCACTTAGTAGATTAGCATTTTTTACGTAGTGGAGAGGTTTAAAATGGTGAGATGATATGAATTTTAGCCTCATTTATTCAGTTGTTTTTCAATTTGGATTGAAAATTGGAACTTACCATGAATATTTATTTATTTTTGTTATTGTCTGCTGCACAAGTATATAATACTTCAGGCATTTGTAGCTTAGTAGTTTAAAATTTAAAATTCCATGCTTAATCAGTTGCACTTTGAAGTTTGAAAAGTTGGGGTGTTTTTAGTGAACTTTTCTGGTTTTAAGCTTATTTGATTTTTTTGGCTCAAAATTCTCAAGTTGAAAAGGCTAATAATTTTTCCCCCTAAGCTTGGTTTTATGTCTTTCTTTCAAAATTTCCACTTCTATACTTACCCAAAAAAACATTTCCACTTACAAATTTTTTTCTCAAAATTATCTGACGTAGAACATGTAGTTGAAGAATTTATGGAGCAACTGCATTGGAATAGTTGAATCCACGAATCCACAGAGATCAAAGATACAATGGTTGAAAAGCGGTTTTGCTTAAGGGAGCAAAGACATTAAACAACTTAAGCAACTCGAAATCTGAATTATATATATAGCAAATAAACGTATAAATTATTAGTTATTAGATGTATTAAAGTAATTTAAATCATTAGATCATATTAAATATATTATATATATAAGTAACACAATATAAAATCTTATATATTTTTTTCTTACTCATAAATTGGCCCTATTTGGGAAGAGGGTTTAAGTCTAAAATAGTTTATAAAAACAAAATAAGCTAAAATAACTAATAAGACAAAATGTCACTTTCAAACTATAATCATTTTATTTTTTTCTCTCATAACTATCAAATCAATTATAAAAAAAAGCTAACTATCTTTTCAAACACAACTTTTTTTAGTCAGGCTAAAATAGTCAAAAAATCAACTCAATTAACCAAGTTCCCAAATTGTGAAGACCACCATAGTGACATCTCTTTTATATTATATAAATTATTTGTTTAGATGCTATTAATGATTTTATAAAAAAAAAATATATAAATAGAATCTAATTTTAACAAATTAATTAACTTAGCTGCATTGAAAAAGGCGGAAGGGGGGAACTAAAATTTATGTAAAATTCGGGTAATTCGGGTTTAACTCATGTCGGGCTTAACTATACAATCTCGGATTAAAATTCAAATTTGGACAGCTCTCAACATAACTTGAGTTGAGCTTAAACAACCTATCAACCCATCCAAACCCGCTTGAGTTGCACCCTAGCTTTGCCTTACATGACACAGCAACAATCCTTTACTAATCCATTTTGTTTATGCCCTGAGCCTTGAGGAATCCATTTTAGCATTTCCAATTTAGTTCACCTTTCTTTTGTTTCAGATTTCGAACAAAAATGACCGACTAACAAAAGCAATTCAGCTCGTTTGTGCAAAACAAAAACATAATGCGAAAACTGAACACCAAACCATTTATCTGTCCAATAGCAGTTAATTAAACAACACAAATTTTATTGTCAATGGAAAGTTGGCAAAACCCATGACACGTGAGTTCAATATACCTATTTTCCATCAAACAAAATTTACAAAGAAACAAACAAAAAAAAGTTCATTCTGAATCAACAAAATCAACATATCTCATTCTTTTACAGGAATGCATCAATTGACAATCGCAAGCAGTTGTGGCGTATACTTTAAACTATTTCCTAATTGTAGGTTTGAGCTCAAGAAATCAAGGAGAAAAATTCCTCAAATTGGGTCTCATTCACCGTAACGCCAAGTTTTGACTATGGACTGCATCAATCAAATCAATTCCTATATCTTTTGCCAAGCCTACTGTAGAGATCTCAATGTACTCATTCACACGTGTTCAAGAACTTCTCAACAGAAGTCCTCATCCTCCCCAAAAAACAAGACCTAATTTCATCAGTCCCTGGACGGATCATTGAGTCACTCAAACCAGTCAAATACAGACTCAAGACAATTCTCTGTCCCCTCCGGACTCGCTGCGATTGAACTAGTTGGAGGGAAAGAAAGTGCCATTGCCCAAGTCATAAGAACAATCCCAAATAAGTTTTACAACCTCACTTTCTCCATTGGAGATGCCAAGAATGGTTGCACACAGATCGATGATGATTGAAGCTTTAGCTGCAAAAGAAACCCTAAAAGCTCCCTATGCATCTTATGGAAAGATGAGAGTGGGTTCAAGAATGCAAGTTTCAAGTTCCAAGCAATTTCAGCTAGGACAAGGCTCACATTTTATAGTTCATTTTATCACACTGAGGTTCATGACTATGGTCAAATATGTGGCCCAGTCTTGGACAATGTTAGGGTTGTGAGGGTATCTTAGTCATTTTGAGTGGATTTGTTTGCTAATGTTCTGGCACTCAAATGGGTTATGAGTAATTTTGGTAGCTGAGTAATGGTCTAGATATAGGGGATTGTATGTAATGAATGGCCTTGTAGGTTAAAAGGGTCACGTGCGAGCCGTATTGTAGTATTTTTATTTATTTTTTTCTTTTGCAAAGTTGGTGATTTTGAGCTTGTCCTCTAATATGTAAGGATGTGTTTGAACTTTCTCTTTATCAAATGACCGTAATAATAATTACTATCTAAAGATATGATTAGAAAATACTATGTGATCTTTGCATCATTAAGAGGTATTTGAATCTATGTTTGCAAGACTCTTGAATTTTTCTATGGTGGTAGTTTTGGGGCACCATATCCTAATCATAATAGTGAGAAAATTCATTCAATGGATAGGTAATGAGTAAAATCGGTTGCAAAAAATGAGTAGAAGATATGTATATATATATATATATGTTAGAATTAAAATAGCAATACTTAGTATGATTTTAAATAACTAATTTTATACGGTGATTTAAACCATCAAGATTAAGCTATTTAATTCAATTTTCAAATTCATTACTAAACTATTGTATCTAAATTTGAATTATTATCCTTATTCATTTAAGGTCAAATGGGTCGGTTCCCTGTCCGTCTCTCTCCTTCACTCTCTCTCTTCTCTTCTAATTTAAATCCAAATCACACCAAAAAATATAAATCCAAATTCAAACCACCAAAAAAAAAAAAAAAATAGAAAATAGAAAATAGAAAATTCGATCTTGCAACTAAGACATGACCGCAAGTTTGCAATCTCAAATATGGAGTCAGTCATAAAATGAAAATGAAAAGCACCCAAACCCAAAACAGAGCAAAGAAATGAACTCAAATAATGACCCAGATCAAATAAATTTTCTTCTAATTTCGTTTTAGTAATTGTTTCTCTACCATAATCAATGCATGTGATCTAGTTGCTTATGAGTCACATGGGGCAGTGCAACAAATCCAAAGAGAAGTGGAAGAATGCCAAGCAGTGGAAATGTCTGTTGCTAAATTGAAATAGAGGAAGACATAGAGGGGAATTCACTGGTTTGCTTGGTTTACGGTATCGCACAGAATACACAAATGTGAGATTGACCTGTGTTTGCAATTGTAGTTGCGAAGATACGAACATGTTCACATACTTATCGGTGTATTCTGTGTTTGGAAATTTTTGTGTTCATAGACTTTTCCTTATAGTATATAGCAGGTGCAATTTTTTTTTCTTTGTTGGGCACGTGCGTCTAGACGAGTTTTGGGACAGAGAAGGGTACAAGAATATGGAACCACGGATCCCAAACTCAAATCTATTGATTTGGAATCTACACCTATTAAAATGGACTCTAAAATCTATAACAATTTATTTTTTTAGTTTTGGGCATACAATTATCAAATGGCAACTAGGGTCAACCCAAGGAATAGACGAGTAAACAGAAATTATTATTCCGGTCAGAAAGATTATGTGATTGTGTGCTTATGTACTAGTGTATTGTCATTTCTTTATTATTTTCTTATTTTTAGGTCCATGTAACTTTTAAATCCCCTACTATTAGTTAGGCACACCGCCAATATAAAATTTCTAAAAACAAGATAATTACTCACGAACAAAGTTGTTGTTTACGGCCTAAATTTTTATTGAAATTGTGGCCAAAAAATCTATCCTTAAGTGGGGTGTTTGGGAAGTTACTATTTTAGTAGGCTAAAATTTATGTATTTGGGAAGATGATTGGATTTTTTTGTAATTTGATGTGATGTTTGTGAGAGAAAAAGTGAAATGATTATGGGTTTGATATGACATTTTATCTTGTTAACTATTTTAGCCTATTTTTTCTTTTTGTGGATTTTGGGCAAAAAATAGCCCAAAACCCACTTGCTAAACACGGCCTAAGTCTAAAAAAAATTGTCCCAATCCTATAATTAACTTTATGAATTTGAGATTTCAAAAATGCTTGAGACACGTAATCACCCTAAAAAATCACTCCTAAATCCTAATGATGTGAACTCAAATAAAGACCCAGATCAAATAATTTTTCCTCTCATTTCTTTTTGGTAATTGTTACTCTGCCATTGTCAATGCATTTGATCTTGTTCCTTATGAGTCACTTGGGGCAGTGCAACAATTCCAAAGAGAAGATGAGGTGGTGGAAGAATGCCAAGCAGTGGAAATGTCTGTTGCTAAATTGAAATAGAGGAAGACATAGAGGGGAATTCACTGGTTTGGTTGGTTTACTGTATCGCACAGAATACACAAATGTGAGATTGACCTGTGTTTGCAATTGTAGTTGCGAAGATCCGAACATGTTCACATACTTATCGGTGTATTCTGTGTTTGGAAATTTTTGTGTTCATAGACTTTTCCTTATAGTATATAGCAGGTGCATACAAGAATTTTTGTATTCTGTGTTTGGAAATTTTTGAATTCACTGATTTTTTTTCTTTGTTGGACACGTGCGTCTAGACGAGTTTTGGGACAGAGAGGGGTACAAGAATATGGAACAAAGGATCCCAAACTCAAATCTATTGATTTGGAATCTACACCTATTAAAATGGACTCTAAAATCTATAATATTTTATTCTTTTAGTTTTGGACATACACTTATCAAATAGCAACTAGGGTTAACCCAAGTATACACGAGCAAACAGAAATTATTATTTCGGTCAGAAAGATTATGTGATTGTGTGCTTATGTACTAGTGTATTGTCATTCCTTCATTATTTTCTTATTTTTAGGTCTATGTAACTTTTAAATCCTCTACTATTAGTTAGGCACACCGCCAATATAAAATTTCTGAAAACAAGATAATTACTCACGAACAAAGTTGTTGTTTACGGCCTAAATTTTTATTGAAATTGTGGCCAAAAAATCTATCCTTAAGTGGGGTGTTTGGGAAGTTATTATTTTAGTAGGCTATTTTAGTAGGTTAAAATTTGTGTATTTGAGAAGATGATTGGATTTTTTTGTAATTTGATGTGATGTTTGTGAGAGAAAAAGTGAAATGATTATAGGTTTGATGTGACATTTTATCTTGTTAACTATTTTAGCCTATTTTTTCTTTTTGTGGATTTTAGGCAAAAAATAGCCCAAAACCCACTTGCCAAACACGGCCTAAGTCTAAAAAAAATTGTCCCAATCCTATAATTAACTTTATGGATTTGAGATTTCAAAAATGCTTGAGACACGTAATCACCCTTAAAAATCACTCCTAAATCCTAATGATGTGTCTAACAAGTGTCAAATTTTGATTTGTCAAACATTCATTATGTAACTTCTAATCTTAATGCCACATCATTTGAGATTATTTAGGAGTGATAAATTAAGAATTATTGTCAAATTTAGAGTTCTAAACCAAAAAAGCACCTCCATAATGGAGGTGTCTTATATTGTCCTAGAAGTCCATCTTAAATATAGTTTAATTATTATGATTCAAACAAGAAGAAAAGAAGCATTTAATACAAAACTATATATATTATGCATGCAATACAAGGCAAATCTTAAAACACACAAATCAAGAAACAGTTATTACAGTTGTATAATTATTATTTTTAAGTCCAAATTATTTAAAATCAACACATTGCCATAATCCACTTATCATTCTTAGCTACTAGTGTAGAGCAACACAACAATCAAATAAAAATACCTAGACTGGAGAGGATGTCGTGGGAAGAGAAGATGGATGTTGCTGCTACTGCATCCTTTGCACCCAACCTCTTGTAGAGTTGAACTTGTTTTGTACCCAATCAAATGAATTTGCAATTGTCTGTGAGTTTAAATTGTCTTGCACCCAATCTCTTGCAGAGTTGAACTTGTTTTGCACCCAATCAAATGAAATTGCAATTGTCTGTGAGTTGAAATTGTCTCGCACCCAACCTCTTGCAAAGTTGAACTTGTTTCGCACCCAATCAAATGAATTTTCAATTGTCTGTGAGTTTAAATTGTCTTGCACCCAACCTCTTGCAGAGTTGAACTTGTTTAGCACCCAATCAAATGAATCTACGATTGTTTGTAAGTTTAAATTGTCACTAATTGCAATTTTAATTCTCTTGCAAAAATAAAACAAGGCGGCAACTGCAAGAATTAAGGGCAATGACACATGTAAAACAAATTGTCCAAGCAAATTTGGCAAAAGAATTGAGAACAGAGAGGCACAAGAAAACGTTCCGGAGATGAAAAGAACATAGCTCAGGATTTGAGAGCAAGTTTCACCATCGAATGTCCTTGCAATCATGAGTCCCAGAATCGACCAGTAGATGACTGTGGCAAATAAGAAAGCCCACACGCTTGCATGGTGTGTTTCCATTGGGCTTAGTGTCTTGCCAATGTACGTCAAACCAACGACGGTCAATAGCAACGGAATGAGGTTTTGGAAGACGACATGGGATGGAGGACTGTCAAAATAAATTCATGCATCCAAAGCAAAAATTAATAAATAAATAACACTGTTTTCCAAAATTTTTAACAAAAAATGAGAAGTAGACCCATATATTGTTGACAAAGTTGCCACTCCGGCAGCGAAAGAGAAATATAGTCTCAAACTTTTCTCTTTGTCTCTGTCTTTGTCTTTATAAGGTGGAAAGAGGAGTTGATGCCACTAACCTACGTGCACACATTGCGCAGGTTGGGCGATAGCTTCCTAGAGTTTTGCATTGTAACGTTGAACAAGTAGGGCATGTTTGTTTGGCCTCTTAGGGGAGATTAGATTAATAATTCCGTGAGTCTCACTAAACCCATGTTTGGTTGTGTTATATGTTAAGGGATTATGAGTCCTATGGCAGAACCAGGATTTTGGCTTAGAAGGGACACCAGAAATTATAATTTAGCTTAATTTTTAGTTGATGGTTGGACTCAAAATTAGTTCGATGTAAAAGTTATATTTAAATATAAGGTTATGTTAACTGATCATTATTGTTATTAATTATTTTACGTATGATAATCATCACAGTTTAAAAAATAATATTTAAATTTGAGTTTTTTTTTTAAATTTTTTAATTTAAACTATAATACTTAAATTTATTTTTAATCTAAACTATCCGCCTATTTTCATTAAGTAAAATTGACCAAGGGATCAAAATAATGCAGATTATGTGAAAATACAAGTATAAACACAATGAATTACTCATGAAAAAAAAAA